TAATATGGACTTGAAGAAGAGAAAATCCAATCAATTGTAAGGCGATAAAGTGTGTATTGAGCATATTTGATTAGCTTAGATTTCTCCAAACTCATAGTTTTAAAATAGTAGGCAAATATGCATGGAAATATCAAGCCCGATAATGACAAAATATTTAACATTCATGTAGGGTCTTGTCCATGTCAAAGGAAATGAAATAAATCACAAAACTCCTTGAGAGCATTTCATCAAACAATTGATATGCAACAATACAAAGCTAAGGAAACAAGGTGACATGGAGATCACATTTCTAAAACGTTCAACTACAAAAGACAAGAAGCTTTGCTCTTGCTTCCCTTCCCTTTCCTCACAGGAAACTATAATTATCTTAAGATATTAAGTTGTCATGCCAACAAATGTAAGAAATAAAACTTCACCAAGCTGCTTACATACAAGAAGAGAACAAACAACTTAAAGAGAAAAAGAAAGAAAGAAAAAAAGAGAGCTTAGGTGATAATGTAACCCATTGAATGAGGCCATCAAAGCATATTAGCTTATTACTACAGCATCCATATTTTGAGGGAATCAAATCCAAACAGCAAGCTGGAAGGAATGAAAGGAATGAAAAGAAGAAGAAAGATAGGGAAAGGGAATGAAATAGAAGTAGAGAGGAAGGAAAAGGAAGAAGAAGAAGGAGGAGGGGAAGCAAATCCGTAAAGAAGAAGAATTGGTAGAAGAAGAAGTGCTCACCTTGGGGATCAAGAGGCGTTGGCAGCTAAGGCAAATAGGTGGGCTTTCGGTCCGGTCCGGACGTGGAGGCGAAATCGGGTTGTCGGGCTCGGCTAGCTCACGCGAACGGAGAGGAAGGAGAATGGGGGAGGCTGCCGTCGGAAGCAGGGGTCGGTCCAGGCGTGCGGCGCAGGAGCTCGTCTGGTTCGGCCCTGGAGGGAGAATCGAGCGGAGGAGGGATCGTCGGCTAGGGAGTCCTGGAGTTCGGTCCGAATGGAGGTGAGAAGCAGGTGTCCGGGGCGACGGGCTTCGCGAACAGGGAGACTGGGAAGCCGACATCGGGCTTCCTGTCTGGTCGTCTGCGAACAAAAGAGACGGAGAGGGAGGGGATTTCGGATTTCTCAGAGCAAGAGCAAAACTAAAAGGGAGAGAGAGAGTTCGTGAGTGTGTCCCCCCTGTCGAATGTCTTCGTTCTGAGTAAATCAAAATCGTCGCTATAAGAGGAAGCCCGCTCCTTCGCTCCCCCGTGCTCCAGCTTCCAAAAATGCCATAAATAGCTCTCGTATCTGCTCGATGTCTGCCTCTGTCGCAGAAAGCTCCTGATCACCGCGATTTAAGCTAAATCATGGATCTCGCTTGATCATGGTCGTCGATACAATTCCTTGATTAAGAAAGTGAATTCAAATAACTTGAAAAGTCAAATGGCTCTTAATGGGATCAAATTGGGCTGAATCGGATTAAAATTGGCTAGGATTGGGTTAAGCTCGAGTTCGAATTTGACTCGATTCGAGTCGATTCGGGCTCGAGCTGGCTCAATAAAATTGGTTAAACGAAATTGGGTCCAAAATAATGATCAAATCAAATTAAATCAGGTACGACGCGATGAAATCTAACTAATTGAGTCTAATTGAACACATTCAAGTCTGATCCGGCTCGAGTCGGGTCGATTCGAGCTCAAATTGGCTCGACAGGGTTCGATTAAATCGATCGAAAGAGCTCGAGCACGATCGAGCCAAAATCGAGGTCAACAAACGGACCCCCAACATATGCGGAGAACAACGGGTGAACCGTATATGTTGGAGTTGACCTTCCTAACTTTAGGAAGATACAACCTCAAGGTCGACCAAAACAAGTCCTTAAGAAAATGCAATCAACTAATGAGAACCAAATCAATAAAGAGAGAGAACAAGTCAATCATCTACCCAACCAAAGTGGGAGGTGAGGAGAAAGAGATCTCATGCTCACATGAGCGAAATCAAAGTGAAATCTCAAAGGACCAAATAGAATTCAACGATCACCTACGATAAAAGAAATCTAAGATGTTACAGAAAGAAAGGAAATAAATAGTAACTCGAAAGTCAAAAGAAATATCAAAGAGAAATAATCAAAGGAAAACAATAATAAGAGTAACAATCATAGGAAAATAATAGTAATCAAAAGTAATGAAGTCATCTATCTGCCTGACCACATCGCAACAGCAGAATAGAGAAAAGAAAGGGGGTCCCACATCCACCTGACCATATTCGCAACAGTGAATGGGGACAGCTCCTGGTTTGCTTGACCATGTTCGAAACAGCAAAACAAGGAGCAAAGAAAGAGAGGGAGTTCTGCACTCGCCTGACCAAATTCGCAACAGCGAATGAGAACAGCTCAATATCCACCTGACCATATTCGCAACAGCGAATAAAGAGCTTCCCAAAAGGTCTAATACCCACCTAACCAAAATCGCAACAGTGGAACAAAAGAAAGAAGTCCAACATTCACCTGACCAGATCGCAACAGTGAATGAGGACGACCCGATGTCTGCCTGACCAGATCGCAACAGCGAGACAAAGGGTGAAAGAGAGGGGATTCAACATTCGCCTGACCAGATCGCAACAGCGAATGAGAACATCTCCATATTCGTCTGACCATGTTCGCAACAACGAATAAAGAGCTTCCAAAAGGTCTAATGTCCACCTGACCAAAATCGCAACAGTGAAACAAAAGACAAAATCCAACATTCACCTGACCATATCACAACAGTGAATGAGGATGACTCAATGTCTGTCTGACCTTATTTGAAACGGCGGAACAAAGAATCAAAAGAAAACTCAACAACCCCCAAACAGGAAATAAAATAGGGGGAATGAAGAGGTAGTGAAGTATGCCTCCCAGGGACTCTGTCGGGCACCCAACCAGCAAGGGGAGTCAACATTCGCCTGACCAGATCGCAACAGTGAATAAAAATGGCTCAAAATTCACCTGACCATATTCGCAACAGCGAATAATGAGCCCTCCCCAAAAGTCTAATGTCCACCTGACCAAAATCGCAACGGTGGGACAAAAGAAGTAAGTCCAACATTCACCTGACCAAATCGCAACAGTGAATGAGGATGACTCAATGTTTGCCTGACCTTATTCGAAACGGCGAAACAAAGAGTAAAAGTCACCTCTACAACCACCCAACGCACAAGTGCGTGGTGCTGTGAGGGAAAGAAAAGTAATCAATCCATCATCAAAGAAATCCCAAACTTATATTCTAGTTACCACATGGTAGAGGACAAATCGTCGTGGCCATGAGTAATCAAAATACAAGTAGAATTTCTTTAGGTAAAATTGAAATCAAATAACATGAAGTAATCGACTGATGCATATCTCTCTAAAAAGAGGAACATACAAACAGTTGAGTAGAAATGATAACCTCATATCAACGGAATAGCAATATGAGTGGCAAGGGGACACACTTGCCACTAAGAACAATCAATCATCATCTTAAAAATTAGTTATTACTAAAGAAATCACAGTGGTAACACCCATGCTAACTGATGGGACCCTGTGAAAAGTACAAACAACATTTATGTCTTCAAAGAGACTATTCTTACAACTAGAAGCAAGGTCTCAATGAGAAAATATATCATTTGAAAGAAATAGCGGATCGACTTTCTGTTAGAAGATCAAAATCCGCTAAGAAGTGATGTTAATATCCAGAGCCAGATGTACCACATCACAAGTAAGGGAGAATAACATCCCATTAAAAGTAAACAACCATGATCGAAGAAGTGAACACAGTCATCTCCTAAGCAATCATCAAAATGCTTTAAGTAGAGACATAAGGGAATTTAGAGGGACTTTGGGCTCTTGGAGCGTTGAACCGGGTTCCACCTGTGACAAGGGCAACCGATTCTTTCTCAACTAAGAGCTTCCATCTCTCTAAGAGGGGGAAATTATTGACTTTGATAACCCAGGCCATATTCGTCACATGAATAAAATTGGGGAGAGAGAAAAATTACAACAATAATTTGTAGGGAAATTTATAAAGTGATCATGGATCAACATCACTATATTTGAAAAATATAGATCAAGGATGGACCCAGTATCACATTCCATAGAAATTCGAGTTAGTAGTTTTGGTATCCTAGACCACACTTGAAGGTGACAAGTGAAACTGGGGAAAGCTAACCCTTACAGGGGCTGAAAAGGTGATTTTGTGCAACAATACCGAAGTGATTAGTGAGTGAGCACAAACATCCCTATGGCGTATTTATATACAACCCTTAAGGATGATCTCATACTTTGCATGACGAACATCACGTGGTAGAGGACAAATCATCGTGGCCACGGACTGTCGAAAAGTATAAGAAATCTTTTAGAGTTATATCTATACAGAGGGATATTTATAAGTGGCGAGGGGATGCCCCTTGCGATGTACAAACTTAAGCATAGTACTTTCTCAAGTACTGCTCATTAATGACAGGCATGAGATGAACACCATTCGCATCAACCAGCAAGTAAGATCCACCCTCGTATACTTGCTCCACAACAAATGGGCCTTCCCAAATGGGCTCAAATTTACCACCTCGACGATGACGCGAGATAATAGGCCTACGCAAGACAAGGACTAATTCCCCGACTTGAAAAGCACGGGGTCGAACAAGGCAATCATGTGCCTGGGCCATACGGGCCTGGTACAACTTAAGGTTCTGATAAGCTTACAAACGGAGCTCTTCTAAACCATCAAGTTCTTCCAACCGGAGTCGGGCATTATCTTTGTGGGACAAATTGTGGCTAACTGCTACACGCAACGAAGGGAGCTCAACCTCAAGTGGGAGGACAGCTTCAACCCCAAAAGCTAAAGCATATGGTGTACACTGAGTAGGAGTACGGTATGTAGTCCTATAGGCCCATAATGCTTCAGGCAATTTGTCGTGCCATTCTCTTTTATTTGCCACAAGTATCTTCCTTATCAATTGGACTAAGGTCTTATTGAATGCTTCAGCCAAACCATTAGCCCTAGGATAATAAATAATGAAATTGAGCTCTGCCCCTAAATTTCCCATAAAAAAATTAAGCCTCTAATAATATTATTTCTTGATAAAAAAATATTTGTTATTGAATATTTGTGGGTGTCAACAATCATAAGAGCCTTAGAACTTGTTATGAAGGTTTTGAGAATTTTGGACTGACAAAAAGTTATTATAAAATGAAATAAATAAATAAAAATTTACTACATAAATACTTTTGTGATTCTTCCCAACATAATCTGAACTAAATCATTTTTTTAATTTTTTCTGTTGGTTTGGATATTGCTTTGTGGGATTTTTGCAAGAGAGTGGTGATAAATTTTGCGCCCCAACCCACTCTACCCCTTGGATGGACATTCTGGCAACCAGGGAGTAGCCCGTGATAAACCATTTCAAATATTACACGTTGTTATGGGTGATTTAAGCATTTTTTGTTTATTTCAACATTGTGACTCCTAACAAAGTTTGTTAATATTGTTTGTATGGTTGCTTTGGTTTGTTACATTTGTTTATGTCTTCTAATATTAAATGGCATGTTTTTCTTGCTTTGTAATATTCCAAATACTTAACTACCTTTTCTATGGAGGAAGCTTTCTCAATAAATAAAGAAACAAATAAAGCTGTCCAATCTATAATAGAGTTTGGTAAGTCTCTTAACATAATTTAGGTACCATAAAATTTTTTTATTTTAGTATATGCGTTTACCTATTCAAAATGCATATTTTCTCTATCAATCCAGCAGTTAACAAAAAGCTTGATTTTTGACAAATAGGATGTAAAGTTGGAGAGATTAAATCACAATGCATATCATATTATAATAAACTTATTGCTTAAATGTTCTAATTTTAACAATTAAATAATTTAAACAAAATATAATGTATTTTTGTAATTTATAAGTTTGGTTATCGCTAACTAAATCAAGTTTTGAATCAGAAATACCATCATTGTTACTTTTAGTCATTACAATATTTTTCAAGAACTAGAAGATCGATATTGTACATAGCTAAATTCTCAGATATATGAACATGAGAAAATACTTTCAAACATCAGATGAAAAAAGAGAAAAAATTTGAGATCATGGCAACTTTGCTCTCAGTATGTGCATATTCCTACACTCTTTTTCACAAAGAAGGTAAATAAATGCAATACCTGTACTTTTATTTTTTGTTTATTTAAAACTTCATGAGTAAAAGACTCATGTCTGAATAATCAAATCCTATACATTTTTTTATCAAAATTTGCTCATGTTATCCATCTTCCTATGTATTCCTTCCTTTTTGAACCATCTTACTAGTTTTTCAAATTTGTCAAGATGTCGATCCTAATGTAGAAAATGATGATCTAACAAATGATGAAGGGATAGATAGCTTTGTGTTAGAGCTATCAAATGCTATCCATGGAGTAGATGAGGTTATTAATTTGTTGAAATGTTGAAGTAAGTTTTTATCTCCATATATTGCATCACTTGGCTTTTCATATTCATGCCTTACTATGCAAAGGAGATGCTTAATAAGGTCTTCTTCTTTTATATATGATTTTTCTTTTACTTCTCAAAATAAAAACCTATGTGAAAAAAAGAGTTCAACGTGGCAGGGAGCATCGTGTCCCTAGCCCTCTTTATAGATGTCTGCAACAACTGGTAATATAAGTGGGGCTTTTATGTAGTTTTTTTATATTTTGTTTTATATTTATATTGTTTAGTTTATTAAACAAGGTTAAAATTTATAACTATTTGTAATTTGTCCTGCCATTCATGCAATATTTGACACCTAGAATTTGGGAAGACTTATTTAATTACTTCTTTTGTAGGTTCTATATAAGCTGATGTCATCAGCGAACCAAAAATATTTGATGAGGCATGCTTATTTATTTCATTATTGTAACAACTTTTATTTTTTAATTTTTTGAAATTTCTCAAAATTCAATCAATTGGGTGAATTTACATCGTCATTCCTTTCTTTCTTTTCGTAGATAGGAAATATTTTGTTGCTTCACAAATTTAATGGTCATTCTTTTAGATCAAGAGCAAAATTCATTTCATTTGTTGATTTCTTTATTTTTTTATGTGGGTTGTATTTACTTTGAAGATATTTTGCATCGATGCATAGCTATAGAATATCATTTATTCCATACTCTTGTGGGTTTTCATTATTTTTAGACAATTTTATTTTTCTTTACTTTTATTGTTGTTGTATACACTATCTCAACCATGCAATTTATTTTGTCTATTTTAGACAATTTTATTTATTTGCTGCTCATAGTCTTTTGTTAGCTTGTTTCTCCCCTATTTTTTCTGATTACAATTATAACATTTTTGTAAGCTCCGGCTCCAAACTTATAAAAATGGGGTTCAATAGGTACCATAGTTATTTTTTTGTTGAACTCATTAACTCTTCTTTATCTATGTGCAACTATTTCATTGATCTACTTCTATGTTGATTGTAAGTGATATTAGATCTTGGTCATTGCGTCAAGTATTATTTTTTCTTCCAACATTGTAAAAAACTCAAATTGTTAATGCATTCTAACTTTTTACATATATAGTAGCAACATGTGTTAATCTAAAAATAGATTAATTAAGTTATCTATGGGAAAGGAGTTTACGATTAATCAAATGATAGAGCATTATTATTGTTTGATAGATTTACTTTGTCGTGCTAATCGTCTTGAAGAAGCTTATCAAGTAGTGAAGGAGATACCATACAAGCCTAATGTTTGCAAATCATGCAAGTTCGTTTTCCTTTTCTTCCCTATTTTTGGGTGCTTGTGCTTAAGCACTGTAGAATGTACCTAGGTTGTCTTGTACTTTTGTGTAGTAAGGACCTTGTGCTCGTAGGTTTTTTGCCTTTTATTTTTGTAGCTCTTTTGAGCAGTAGTGAGCGCGAGGACCTTTTAAGGACTTTGTACTGTTTACCTTTAATTAACACGTAGGCCCCGCTTTGAATTTTCTTTATATATATATACAAGCCTAGTGTTTTAGTGTGGGGACTTTGCTTGGAGGCTGTAAGGCTAGAAATGACATAATATTATAGAGAAAGTGATGGAAAGGATTCAAGAGGTTGATGAGATTGGAAGTGGTAGTACATGTATTAGCTAGAGTTGAATACTAAATATGAATTTTAATCGATTGAGTTTCTATTGTGTCCATTTATTTTGCATGAAATTGTTCTTAACATTGTAGCCTTTATGTTTGTTAATATTGTCGAGTTTCATTGAGTGCAGGTTAAATTGAAATATTTGTAAGGAAGAATTAAACCTACATGGGATTGAAGTTTTAGTCAGATATCATTGTGTTCAAATTCATTTTTATTTAATTTTTTTTTTTTGTGAACTCCAACTATTTGATATTTCCATATCAATGTATTTTTTAATTATTTTATGAAAGATTAAAGTTTATTTATATTACAGTATAAATTTTATTAATATAATAAATAAGAATTATTATTTATAGTGATAAAATTACTATAATTAATTTTTTTATATTATAAGTTTTATTTTAAAATGTTATTCATGTGCATTTATTGCATGTGCAATAAAACTAGTTTTTAAAAATTAAGATAGGTGGAATGTAACCTATCTCTATTTGGATAATTTTTTGAACTAGGCCAATAATAGAAAATGAACCAGACGTGCCAAATTCTCAACTTTCTTTCTACAAATCATTTTCTAAATGCCTGAAGGGGGGTTTAATATTTTGATAAATTGAGATATTTTTTTTTTATTTTTTTATAAAAACTTAACCTAATGCCCCACTGGTCAACCCTGTAGCACTGCTACACCTGACCCCAATGCCGTAACATTAGTTCAAATTCATAAAATATGATGGATAGCTCAATGCTACAATGTTTCTATCTTTGTGCTACAATGCTATCCAAAAAAATATCTAGATTTTTATACATATGCATACAGACTCCTGGGAACTGCTTTAGAATATATTCAAATATGATCATGCATATAGAACACTCATAGACACGAAGAAGATATAAATATAGAAATTTCACATTATTTATCTTACCATACCGGGATGGAATAAGTACAACTGTGCAAGGATTAAATAGGTGTTTCACTTATGTCATTTTCCATGTATGTTAATGTCATAACCATGTATGTTAATGCCATACACATATACAAGCAATATAAATAATGTGTTGTAATAGAATCTAAGCAAGATAGGGCATCCATCTATCTGTGGTGTTTTTCCTATATCCAGTCATGAACGTTAGCCCTATAGGAATCATTCTTAATCATCTTATCTAGTTGTTAGGAATCAATCTCATTTCACATACCATAATTCATTAATTAGGTGGCTTTCATACAAGGGCGGAGGGAGAGGGGGGCAAGGGGGGGCACGTGCCCCCCCCTAAATTTTTTTCCCCTTGGCTAAAAGTGATATTAAAACAATTTTTTTATGAGAAAAATAAAAGTTGGAGGTATAAATTATAATTATTAAGTCAAGATTTTTAATGCATGTAATATATTCATAAAAAAAATTGTCATATAATTTATTGATCAAATTTTTTATCAAAATGGATCTTAAAAATATTGTATTTATTTTGAGATATGTGTAATATACATTTTAATTAAATTTTTTATGTATTGCACTCATTTTAAAGTAAATTTAAGTGTGGATGATCAATTTACATAAAAAAGTAAGTATTATTTTTATAAAAAAATAAGACCTAACAATTCTATAATTTAACATGCAAGACTATGCTTTAGGCTTTGTTCGGAATAATTATCTTACTAATTTTAACAATAACATTTTTATAAAAAAATTTACTCTAGCTACAATATCATATCAAAGGCACAAACGGAGATCACTCCCAAATGGCTTCCTTTCTCTCGACTCAAGCGGTCTGTTTCGTTTTCCCTTTTCTCCTCTCTCGCTACTCGCGACATCGAGCGCAACTTTCGTTTTTCTTTCCGCTCCTCTCTCGCTATTTTTTATTTTTTTTGCACATCTCTCGACATGTTATTTGCATTATTAATTTTGATCTTAGAGCTCTTTTTGACTCTAGCAATAAGTTGGTAAACATAACTATTTTAATATATTCTAACATTTCAAATGAGATGACAAACCGCTTGAAAATTCACCATAGGAAAACCGTAGAAAAATTTATCATTGAAAAACCGCCTAAAACTTGCGCCGATAATGGATGATTTTTCTGTAGTGTTTAAATTAGGCCCCCCCTGAATAAAATTTCTGGCTCCGCCCTTGCTTTCATACAAGAATTCGTCACTTTATGCCCATTGATATATCATATAATATCAATCTGTCTCTTTTTACCTCTTGCTTCATATCACTTATGATTATACCACGAACCTCATTTAAGAGAAAGCCTGTTGGTTCACTCTCCTGTACAAAAAAATATATCTCCAATTAACTTGAATTAGTCAATCATTTTCGATCAACCTTTCTTGCATTTATTTATATTTCATGTAAATCATAATAGAAAATATCATATACACTCAATAAAATTAACATTATACTCATCAGTATGTCTATAGTTTGACAAAAATGTGTATTGTACCAAATGAATAATAAATTCATACATGTCATGCCTTCCATGTATAAATAAAAAATATTAACTTGTGATCATTTTACATTTAACATTATACTACCATTTCAACTAAAATGACATGCAAGAAAACTACCAATAAAATTTTAATATGAACTAATTGAAGTTCTTAAGATGGTGATATCTATCATATATCAAAAGTTATACATTGAAAAATTACTTAAATGAGAGATATTGCATGTTAATCAAGTTTAAGAGAGATAAATCCAAGAAATAAAAATAACTAAAAATAAATATATGATTCAAGTTACCTACCATGATCATGTCACTTTTCTTAACTGGAGTAACATATAAAAATGACTTAGTATGGATTTTCCCTCTCCTCTCTCCCTGTCTCTCTCCTCTTTCTCTCTTAGCCAAGCAACAAATGAAGGGGGGATGGCTAGGTAATTGGCTTAAGTAATTGATTTAGATATTTTAATATTTAAAAACCATTAGTTTGACCTATTGTCATGATGCTTAACTCCCCAATGTCACCGAGCTCCCAAAGAATCTTTTAAATTCTTCTAAAATATCCTCACTTAAGTCTCGACACCACGGCAGAGCCACCTGGCACCATATTACACACTTAATTCCCCCATTTTCTCCATTTTCCTGATATCTTGATGTTAGGGGCCTCAAATCCTGGCATCGCAGTGCCCATGGAGCAAAATTTGGAAATTAAAAATTAGGCTATTACACAAGTGTCATGTCGAGTAATGAAGTAATGAGTAGAGTATTATTTCCATGATGATTAGAATTATCCTAAGTTCACTCTAGAATTGCTTATGTGAATTAACAAATTTATCTTATTGACTGAATATTAAGATTGTGCTAAAGAAAACTATTAACTAAGTCCTGAAATTTTAAATACAATTTTTAAATTTCTCTGAACCTATGATAATTAAAACTAATGAATACAAAAGTTAGATTTATCTAAATGCTTTTGTGAATTGGAGCATAAATACTCATTATCTCTATCAAGCTTGTTGGAGTGTCTAACTAAAATTTCTCTCAAGAATAGTGATTATATATCATTAAGATTCCAAGATTATTTCCACCATATATCTATGCATGGTAAAATTTTATTTTAATTCCCTGTTTGTTCCACTATTCCTCCATCAAGGCTACATGTCACACTAAAGTTCTAACATAGCATAGGTCAATAGCTGAAGGATTTCCGTAGTCATATTTAGTACAAACAATTTGTATTAACCACTTCTTACAAGAAAAAAGAAATTGTAATAATTTATTATTTGTTATAAGGGGTAAGACAATGTCTTATCACATTCCTATCATCTCAAACAACAATCACATGAATAAGTTATCCGACCAAATTATGATGCAAGTGATGGTTATGATATAATTTATACATCGGTTGGTAAATCTGTGTTTGGCAACCGGAGTTACCATACCTTCTAGAGCTATATATGTGAATTGACTTGTGAGATATGCTCCTCATACATCAAAATTATTTACTTATTGCATAATTAACCAAATAGTTTCATAAACTTTCTCTTCATTCATTTCTCACTTAGCTCATTAATAAATAACCAAATAATACCATATATATCTCTATCTTTGTAACTATTCATTTGATGAAAGTTTCTTAACAAAAATTTGACAAGTATTAAGTTCTTGGTAGAAAAACTATCTATATTATTAAATTTATTTTAAAATTATTACAAATTAGGACCCATGTCTTATGATTTTGGTGATAGCAAACATTATTGGATTTCTCACTATGTTATCTCCAGATAAATTAATTTATTGCATTTCTATTTTTGCCCTACTCACTAACATTTCAGGACCACTATTCACTTGCAACCTCGACTAGCTCAAGATTGGGTAGATTATGAATAATATTTGTAATTTTAGTCTTTCAATAATGTTTATCTTTATTGAGTCAATTATGTATGTTGGTGGATCAAAAAGCTAAGTAACCTTGCACACACACACACCCACACAATGGGATGAGTTAGTGCATGAGTTAGGAAGAAATTGTGTTTTTTGAACTAATTGTCTAGTATAATTTATATCATACTGAACTATCAGTTAACCAAGAAAACCCTAATTAAGGCATAAATGATAATTAAGATTAATTAAATTAATTGTACTGTAAGATCCGTGTCGTACAGGATGATCAGTTATAATCATCAAGATACCCGTCAATCATAATTTAGGTAATATTTTATAATTAAAATTTTTTTCTAATCTTACCATATGATATGCATCGTATTGTATGATATATAACAATTATGCCTAAATTAATCCTATGATTAGGAGAAATATTATGGTTAATTTATTCAATCAAATCATATAGGATGATTTTATATTATGTATTGTACAGCCAGATTCCTGCATGGGATGATAATTAATCATTGCCTATCATCCA